CTGCGTGCGGCGGCGCCGTCCCTCGAGGCTCCGGCGGGAAGCGCGAGGCGGCACGGACGTGCGGAGCGGCGCAGGCCTCGCGGGCGCTTCTGTGGGAAGCGCCGTCCCAAACGCACGCGTTTAATTCCTCAGTTAACACGCACGCACAGGAAAGTTTATTCTCCTGCTGTTGTTCTTCAAATTTTGAAGCTTTCAAACCCAGGATTTGACCGGAGTGTTTAATATGGAACTGAGAATCCTTGATCTCAAAGTGCTTTACAAAAGACGGTTAAAAAAAAAAAAGAGTATTACTGTGATTTTGTAGGCTTGACTAAGCCATTACACCTGACAGTCACTACATCCTAAAAATCCACTGTAGTTAGAAAAGGAAAACAAAATATTCATCTGATGGAAGTGGAATCACCTCCTCCTCCTTACCCCATAGCAGCAGCCAAATGGTATACAATATTCCCCCAGCTATGCTGATAATCAGTGACAAATCTGTATTCAAATAAAGACTGTGGCTGAGACTAGTTTTTATGCATTACAAATTGTTAATTAAGCCTTAACAAACCCTGACCGCACATTGGCATTGACCACGGATTGGAATAAAGCATCAAGCAGGTAGGCAGGCAAAAATCAGAAGCAAATATTGTAGGCTCCTATAAAATATATTTAAGGAAAACACTAAGGGAATTCATATTTAAAGTACTTTGTGCCCTAAAGCCTTTTTACTCCTGTTCCAAAAGAGTAGGATTGAAACTTCTAAGGCTACAAAAATCACTCTTTAATGCAACTAAAATAAAAAGTCCCAAAGTTCACACTATGTCCCAATACAGTGCGCTGGGATCTGGGTCACAATGAAGCAGTCAAGTAAAACTGCAAGCAGGTTTCTAAATATGAGCTACCCCAAACCTAACTTTTTATCAGCTATCAAAGGAAATTGTGCCCTCGCTCCACAGGCTGGGTGTTTGATCTACTTTCTTCCGCTTTGATCACAGATTGAAGCCTTGCACAACCTGAATAGATTTAACTAATTGCAATAGCACAGTGTGAGGTTTGCTCTGCTGCTGCTCGTATTTCGCTATTATAATTTAAAGGGAGGACAACAAAGCACTGAACCCCCATAAGATGAAGACGGGAAACAATGTGAAAAAAGAGTGAATTCATCAGTATTTCTGGTTAGAAACAATAAACTAAATCATTCAAAATAAGTCAGAGAGATATACAACGCAACAAAGAGGTACAAACATCAATTTTGAAACGATAATAAATATTTATTTGGTTTCAGAACTGCAAGCATCACAAGACGAGAAACCACATAAATGATCCATAGTTCATATGCAAGAACACAAACAGCACCTGAATTCAGGTTTTGTCTCATTCTGACTAGTAAAGTGAGCAAACAGTTTTTTCCTCCTAAATTGTGCTTGTTTTTAATGAATAATATTTTAACTTTTTAATGAGAAATTAAAGGCGCTTTCCTTCAGGTGACTTTGCATATGGAACAAGCTACGTGGGTTTAGCAGTTATCTGTATGACTAGAGGATTCTCTGTGGTTCCGAGAACTGACAGCTCAGCAGTAAAACCATTACTGAAAACAACCAGAGGGGCAAAGGTTATTACATCTCGCTTTAAATGACAACCATTCTTCCCTAGATCTTGATTTACCACGTGCAGAAATTCCATGCCAAATTGAACACCTTTAACTCCCACTTGGGAGAAGTGACCACTGCATAAATATATTCCTCTAACATGGATTGCCTTCAGCGAACTGCTAGCTAAAAATAAAATATTAGCCGGTTTGCCCAAAAGAGAAGGGCTCTGTGTACCATGTAATCACTTGGACAACAAGCTGCATAGGAATTGCTTCTATAAACAGTTTTAGTTGCAATTGGGTAAACAGGAAAAGCCAAACTTAGACATATAAAGTAGTATACAACACGCTATTCTGCAAACGTGAAAGAACCCTTTAAGGCAGTCAATCATCCCAAAATCCGAAACCTTTTTGACTTTTTTTTTTTTTTTAATGTGAAAACAAGGATGTGAATTAACCAACTCATTTTCTAACGAGCATTAAAGTTCTCATTCTCTGGCTTATAGTTGGCAAAAACGGCTCCAAAACCCTTCGACTACAAACCCGTTGAGAATTTTATCTGCGCGGTGCGACTGTACGTGACAACGCTACGGGGTGCAGGAGCACGAAGAGGACACACGGCACGAAGGAGCAAAGCTGCTAAACACGGGAGCGCTGCGGAAATCCGAACCAGGGCAACGACTGCCCGTACGGCACCCCGGGAACACGTGGAAAACTCCAACTATTTCTCATCCGTGAGGAATCTACAACAAGAAATGATGCAGGCCGGTACCTAACGATGCCAAGGGGGAAGTCGGTATTGCCCATGAGCAACTGGCACCTGTCTTTTTTTCTTGCAAAATACACATGTGCTTTGGGTTTCCAACAAGCATATTAAGAAAGTCAGTTTTGAGGACAAACCATGGGATTTCACAACTTCTCCAAGCCATCTCACTGCAGGTTACCTGGGAATCATGACACCTGAATGGCAAGGCATTTCCATTTCCCCTTTTGTTTTAAATTGTTTTAAATTAGTTATTTTTAAAAATACTCATGTTTCACTACATCATGGTAATAAAGTGATGTTCATGGAAAAAATACTCTTCTGTGCTCTGTTTCCATTAACTGAGCGTTAAGTAATTTCACACCTCACGTTATCGTTACAAGATACAGTGAATTAGAAAACAGGGCACAATGTAAAATGAAAACCTTGGGGTAACCTCTATTAACTTTCACAACAATAAGAGCTATGCGAAAGGAAAATTAAAATTTGGAATGTATGCGGTAACTTTCAAAGTTATTCTTTAAATTAGTGCATTTCCTTTGCAACTCAGACAGACGGGAACGACCACACTGCTCTTTTGTTTTTTAAAAGAGAGTCCTGTTTACTGGGCTTCTGCCCTGCTCCCTCCCCTTTGATTTTTTTTATATAACCCAGGAGTTCAAATGACTCAACATCCTCAAATTGTGTTTGTAGAAAAAGTGAAAAACACCTTCAAAGCTAGCACCAACCCAGGCAGTGTTCTCAGACCTCCACAATGTCATCACTTGCTTTACTGGTATTTTCTACATGGAAAATTTCTATTAAATTCCTTGTCCTTCTGTATTCCACAGTGACCACAAAACACCCTCTTATATTAGAGTATCTTCTCCAAGTGAAGATGCCCGTTTCATCTGTAGAAGGATTCTCTTATCGGCTACAAACCGTAACCCCCTTTTGGCTGCGAAACCCCCAGACCAAAGACCAACCTTGTCCCAGTAATTCACTTTTCCAGAAAGACGAGGTCTAACTGGAGCTTAGTCGAATGAAACTCATACAACAGTGAAAGGACACGGAAACAGGGACCTCAAAGAGAGACTGGAAGGGAACTCCTGAGTCACCACATCCATTGACGATCTATCATCTACCCTGTTTATAAATCTATCAAACTTCATTTTAAACCTAGTTGGTCTTTTGCCTTCACCACGTCTGTTCCAGAACCTAATTTCTCAGCTCGTTAGACACCCTCTAATTCCTAGCTTTAATTTATGACTGCTTTCTACTCATTTGTCTTTATGCCAAGTGGTCCTCCGGCGTACAAGTAAAATCCCAAATCCCCACACCAAGATGATGGATAGAGCGCAATCCAATCATTGTTCCAGTTTATCACGACACACGATGAAACCACTAATTTCATCAGTCACGAACCAGAGATCCCAACGTCCTGCGCATAAATCACAAGGTCCCTCGGCTCATGGCACCCACGAGCCGCGTGCCAGCGGGGACACCCCTTCCACGGCACCCACACCGGGTGATCCAGCGCCCACGGAGCATCTCGGCTATTTCATTGCAATGACGGATTTCTCTTAGCTTAGAACCATCTAAATCTGATTTAATTGGAGATTATTCAATACGTAAACTACTGCGGAGAGAGGAACGCTGCTTTAACACCTCCCTCCCCTCCCCAGAATTTACATTGCAGAAGAAGGTAGCAAACTGTTGAGCTTTCTTTTTCTTTCTAAACCAGGCAGATTTTTAAAAAATCCACTGTTAAGATACGAGAAAGGAGAAGACATACCAAGACTGACATTATGCTGTGCAGTTATCTCCCTTGTCATACAACTCGCTCGGAGCGACCACTAAGTAAAAGTATTTTTTTCTACCGTTAAAGGAAATAAAGATAATAGATATCTTAAGTGAACTTTTAATTCTATTTCCGCATATCTCTTAGATTAAACCTTTTTGCCTGAAAATGAACATGAGATACCCAGAAATCTGTTCTGTGTCATGTCACAACTGTCCTACGTATTCACGTTCTCACTTTGAAATAATTTCAAATACAACATTTCCAGGGTTATTTTTGTGCAGCACAGAATCCAACAACTTTACAGTCACAATGAAGAAGCTATGTAAGCGTGCTGAAAAATAAGCTATGCTGGAACAGAACAGCCGTGTCCAATCAGTCAGCAGTAGTGAAAAACTCATTCCCAAAATGAATCCAGCAAAAGGTCCAGCAAAGCCAAACCTGCTCATGACTTAAAGGAGCCTAAAAGTAGACATTAAGAAGCAAAGATTGCAGGATTCACAAAATCATAACTGCTTTTAGGATTATAGGAGCATCAGTGAGGCAACAGACACTTCATATTAGTCAATTTTGGATTCAAAGCCTCTACGGCAACTTTTTGAACTGAATTGACTTGAAGGGTGGTTTGCACCTATGATTTTGCAAGCAGGTAAAACAAATTTGTTGATAAATGCTACGTGTATGTATGCTACACACCTCAATTTACAGCTTCCACAGTTGCACCAATAACAGACACAGGTTTCCAAATTTTATGAGTGACTAAGCAGTGACTAAAACAGTTAAGGAACAAAACAGCAGATCACGACCTGTGCTTTCTTCTCACTAACGGTTTCACTTAAAGCATCAGTAAGCAAAAAATAATAAAAAAACCACACACTTACGGGATAAGGAATGCGTGCCTTTGGGCAAGTACTCAAAGAGCAGGGAACTATCCTCTCCCAGCACGTCGGCTTTCAGAGACAGCAAACTGTTCTTACTCATGAGCGCGGCGCGCAGGTTGGCGACGGCGGCGGCCTGCAGCGACAGGTAGGAGTCTTCCCCGGGCAGCAGTGCCTCGTCCGCGGCGCCGTAGGGCTCCGAGCGCTCCCCGCGGCTGTCCGAGCTGCTGGGCTCGGCCACGGCCACGTCGGCACCTGCGCCAAGAGAGACATCGTCAGGGAGCCCGGGCACCGCCGCGTCATCGCCACGCTCTTGTCAGGAAAGTCCTGAGGTGAACGGGGTCTTTTACAGGCTCCATCGCCACCCGCGCACCTCTGGGTCGTCGTCACCCTCTTTTCATGAACCTCCAGAGACAAACGTGGCCTTTTACAGGCTCCACCACCACCTGGGACCCTCTGGGTCGTCGTCACCCTCTTTTCATGAAACTCCAGAGACAAATGTGGCTTTTTACAGGCTCCATTGCCACCTGAGCACCTCTGGTCACCCTCTTTTCATGAAACTCCAGAGATGAATGTGGCCTTTTACAGGCTCCATTGCCACCCGGGCACCTCTGGGTCATCGTCACCCTCTTTTCATGAACCTCCAGAGACAAACGTGGCCTTTTACAGGCTCCTTCACCACCTGGAACCCTCTGGTCGCCCTCTTTTCACGAAACTCCAGAGATGAACATGGCCTTTTACAGGCTCCATTGCCACCTGGCCTCCTCTGGGTCATTGTCACCCTCTTTTCATGAAACTCCAGAGATGAATGGGACCTTTTACAGGCTCCATTGCCACCCGGGCACCTCTGGGTCCTCATCACCCTCTTTTCATGAAACTCCAGACATGAATGTGGCCTTTTGCAGGCTCCACATTAGGTAATGCATCTTCTCACAGACCGAGAGGTGCATAAAAATCCCCAACCAATAACTGAAATGTATACAAATACATATATACACACATAACTTATTCATTTTTGGAACCTCCATGACTTCTTGCATCAAGATTTTAGTATAACACCCAACCAATAACTGAAATGTATACAAATACATATATACACGCATAACTTATTTATTCATTTTGAACTACTACAGGAACCTCCATGATGTCTTGTATCAATTGCTTAGGATAACGTGATGGTACTGAATTACTTTCAATCACTTAAGTGCTTTTCCTTAACTTTACTCTGATGGCACTAAGTTTTCACGCTTGCATTCCTTCCCCGTGAGGAAGGTTAAAATGAAAGAAAATCCAGAGATCAACTGCCTATAACAGGACACTTATTTTTCTACAGTGGCTCCTCAGCGCTGATCCGCTGGAGGGAAGGAAGGATGGATGGCACAATTCACTGGATTATAGCATTCAGAAATTCCAAAAGCAGGGCAAAACATCAATTTGCACAATCTCATTAAAAATGCTGAAGAGGACACTAGTGCAGGCCTCTCTCCTGCAAGCAGAACGGCTGCTCAAGGCAGATTTAATCTCCCTTGACCGCTGGTGGCAGCCACAAGATGAAGCCCAAGGCTCTCGACGTGCCAGCAGAGGCCGTATCAGACTCAGCGCATCTCCTAGCCCCAAGTGCAAAGTGCTCGAGCTCCCTTAACACATTCACATTTATTTTACTAAATCGTCCCCTGCTGCGTGTACAGAGGTTCGTTACAGCTTGCAGTTAACTTTTGCTGCTTTCACTAGAAAAAAAAAGAAAAGCCTAAAGCAAATAGCAAGGAAAACAGGGATCGCTAGAGCGCACTCCTACACGGGGGAGATTTAGGCAATATTCAAGGTTGGGGACTACAAACGCGATAGCAGCATCTATATGAACAGTCACAGATCGTCCCTCTTTGAAGTTATTTTCCCTCCTCCATCTGTGTTTTGTTTGTGTAATCTTATCAGTTTTATTAAATCTTAGCCAAGCGGAAGAACATTTTAATTGCTTTGAATTTCTGCATATTTTGTCACGCTTCTATTACAGTGCAAACAGTTAACAGGTATATGCATTTTTTTTTTTTTAATAGGAAAGACACCGAAGTTTGTTTTTAAAACAAACACTTCTGCATAAAGAGAAATCACCAGAGGTAAAAAAAAAAAAAATAAAAAAAACAGCTGTTCCAAGAGGTGGTAAGGAAAGGAAATTCAAGCCCATTAAAATGGTAATTTATCAAACAGCTTCATCAAAGGCAGGGCAGTGCTAACTGCCATTCCGCTGCTCCTCCATCCACTCGGCAAAACAGGGCAAATAATCCAGGCCAGAGAGGGTGTTTGTAAAAAATATGGTGTTGCCAAAGAGCTGAAGAGCTGGGCAGTAAATCACCTTGGGCTTCCTCGCTCGGGTCTGCAGAGCCAATTACAGCTGCTGATTGACAGTTGCCAGAATCCCCGGCTGCCTGCTGCACATAAACACTAATTGCTAAAACACATGCAGATTAATTGTAACCACAACATGACATTAAATGTTCCTCAAAAGCCAAGATTAGAGGCAGACAGTGAAACAGAGGCTTTAGAGCTTGAAGTATTTATAGCTGAAGTAACCTAATCAAATACACATTAAGGCAAAATAAATATCCACTTAGTCACATAATTGCCGAAACACTCTCAGTACACCAAAACCCAAAAACACTTCAAGTTCCTCTTCACGAAGCCTCCAAAACCACTTCTCTTTTCTCTAGGATGAAGCTTCTTTAACAAGATTTAGGCCAAGAATGACATGAATCAGAAGCATCCATTACTGCCCAGTAATCTAAATTGTTTATCAGAATGCTTCACAAGTACATAAACCAAGATGCAGTAAATGCACTATTTTGTAATTATTCAAGGCAACCGGTCAGGCGGCAAGCCCAAAATCTTTGTCTATATCTTATATTGTTCATTTTTTTTAAACCACCATGACAATCCCCTTTATTGTATGGGCTCCAGGCGCTAGGCCTGGAAATCCTGATCAGGGCAGCAAGTTAAATATGGGATTAATGCTGATCAAAAAACTGAGCTCATTAGTCTCTTCAGCAAATAATTATTTGGCAGTTATTTTATTACACCAGCCTACTTTATACTGAAGCTTTAGAAAAATCTGTATTAGTTTATTCACTCGGATTTTTTTTTTTTTTTAAATAAAACACAGAGTCTATTTTTTTACAGTTTTGGCAATAGTATTTGCCATGCATCCCTGAAACTGTGAAAGCAACATTTAAATAGTGAAGTTATTTACACTCAAAAGCCTAATATAAAAGGACTATAGGAAGGCCAATAAGGGGGAGCTCCCCTGCTCAGCGGGGTGACAAAACGTCCTTCCTTGGTCACGGCAGCGAGCAGGGAGCCTTCAGCAGAGCCACCACCACAAAGGGGCCTTTTGGCAGGGGGACAACCCAACACCCCACAAGGCAGAGGTGGCCGTTGTGCAGGAAATTACACCTGGGCAAAATAAAACCCAACTGGGAGTTAGGAGAGACAGGGAATTGGCTGCCTTGGCTGCATTTTGTGAGGTCCTAATCCAGATTAGGAGTATCACTTTTATCACAAAAAAAAAAAAAAAACTAAGACACAAGTATTTAATTTGTGCTTACACTGCTAATTAGAGGCAAAGTAACAGGTTGAAAATCATTTAGATATGCCACCGCAATTTCAAAAATATAATGCTATTCATATAACACCAGTATAAGAGATTTGATATCGGAAATGGCGATTAAGACAAAAAATCTTTATGTCTAGTCATTGCTGTCTTTAAAGAGTTTCATAACGTGGCTCCATGTTCCTATCAAATCACTCTCCATAGGAAGCTATGGATGTGGCAGGTCCGCACACCGACCGCCTTTCCGGGATCCAAGTCGGGAGCTACTCGAGCCATTCCATGATCCAGCACCAGGAAGACAGACAGTTCTGGGTCACGTAAAAACAAGGCTGCAGAACAACGTGGGTGTCAATGTGGCTGAGGACACATCGCAGAGTCACCGGGGCTGCTGGGCCACCAGTCACGTTGCTTTAGGCCGCGATACGTTATCCCAGCTAAATAACCCTTCCCAAGGATTCACCGTGTACCCAGGGTTTCAAAACATTCTGTTTTGAATCTAAGATTTAAATTTATTGCTGCAATAAAAAGAACAAGACCAGAAAGCATGTTAGAGTGCTCACAAGTAGTGAATCAAATGAAATATTTAATTCGGCCGTGGGAGCTGAATGTGTAATAAAATACATATGTGCTTTAAAACCCACTTCGGTCAACCACACTGTATCACTGCGAGGTCACTATTGATAACAAGTTCCCCTTTCCTTTTCTTCTTTTTCTTTCTTTTTTTTTCGTTTGTTTCTTTTTTGTAATGAAGTTGCACTATTCAAAACTGAAGTCAATACTACTAGTCCCTTGGGAAGAGCTATGACAAAAATAAAGATGACGCAGCTTACTAAAAATACGTGAATGAAACTTTAAACTTCATAAACTATTTCCCAATATCTAGAAGAAAACTGTCAGCAGAAGCATTAAGCCTAGTCAAATGGCTGAAAAACAGCTCTCAAAGACCACCTAGTTCAGGAAAATCGCTTCTCCTTTCTGAATCCATTTGAGTGCATAAAGGAATTCCTTTAAGGCACAGAATAGTTTTTTGTTGCATCCGCTTTCCCTGCTGCAGCCTTTTCTCCTTGCTCCAGCTCACACTTACACCTCCTCTGAGCCTCCTTCTGACTCTATGATCTCGTTTGCACCGTGTTTTATCTTCTGAGTCTATCCCCAGCGACACTCGTCCCTTCTCCGTTCTTCTCTAATTTTTCTTTCCTACTTCAACTGCTATTCCTGCTCTAATATTTTCTAGAAATCTGCACAAAGGACTAATCCCATTGACCAAGGAGAAGGGGATGAGTAGAAGTCCAACACGATCAACTATTCCAGCTGCAGTACTGAAAGCAGAAACAAGCTCTTCCCCAACAGCCTAAGGGAACGTTTTGCTAAGTCGCTGTTCCTAAATATTGTTCTTTTCACTGCAGCCTCAAGGTGAAAGGAAATCCAAGCCCGTCATCTTCTCTTCAAAGCCCCTTCCCGCCTGGCGGAAGCGCAAAGCGGCCCCGCTTTCCTGCTGCTTCCCAAGCTCGCCAGGGATCGAGGCCGCCCAACAACTGCCCTCCAAATCCAAGCGACTCCGGCACGGGGAGGCCGAGGGAGCAGCCAACAAACGCAGCAGTCCTTGAAGGGACGACAGCAGCGTTTAGCTCCCCGTCTGCAGCCCGAGCTTTGG